ACCCTGTGATTCATCTGTGTCTTCAACTTCCAACTGTGCCCCCCTTGTTACTTGTCCAAAATCTCTGGAACACCCCTGTCTTTGTCCACCCTGTCAATTCCTCTCAGTATTTTGTATGTCGTTATCCATGTCCCCCCTATCTCTCCTGTCCTCCAGTGTCGTCGGGTTAAATTTTCCTTAACCTCTCCTCGTGGGAAACATACCTCTTAGCTCTGGGACTAGCCTTGTTGCAAACCTTTGCACTTTCTCTAGTTTCTTTACGGCTTGGCTAGTGTGGGTTTCCAAACGGGTGCCGCATACTCCAATATGGGCCTAACGTACACGGTGTACAGGGTCCTGAACGATCCTTATTAAGGATGTTCGGAATGCTGTTCTGGGGTTTTGGGCTAGGCGCCCATATGCTGCAGCAGTTATTTGTTGATGTGCCCTTCAGGAGATGGCCCTGGTGTTATACTCACCCGAAGATCTTTTTTCCTTGAGTGAGGTTGTAGTCTCTGGCCCCCCTAGACTGTACTCCCTCTGCGGTCTTCTTTGCCCTTCCCCAATCTTCATGACTTTGCACTTGGGGGGATTGAACTCCAGGAGCCAATTGCTGGACCAGGTCTGCAGTCCCGTCCAGATCCCTTTGTAGTTCCTGCCTGATCTTCGATCGATGAATTCTTCTCATCAACTTCACGTCATCTGCAAACAGGGACACCTCAGAGTCTATTCCTTCCGTCATGTCGTTCACAAATACCAGAAACAGCACTGGTCCTAGGGCTGACCCCTGTGGGAACCCCGCTGGTCACAGGTCCCACTCTGACACCTCCCACGTACCATACTCGCTGCTGTCTTCCTGACAAGTATTCCCTGATCCATTGTAGTGGCCCCTTTCCCCGTTATCCTGCTTGGTCCCTCCATTTTTTGCACCAATCTCTTGTGTGGAACTGTGTCAAACGCCTTCTTGCAGTCCAAGAATATGCAATCTAAACCCCCCCCTCTCTCTCTTGTCTTATTGCTGTCACCATGTCATAGAACTCCAGTAGGTTTGTGACACAGGATTTCCCGTCCCTGAAACCATGTTGGCTGCTGTTGATGAGATCATTCCTTTCTAGGGGTCCACCACCTTTTTCCCGATAATCTCTATGATTTTGCATACTATACAAAGTCAGTGACATTGGTCTGTAGTTTTAATGCTTCATGTCTGTCTCCTTTTTTAAAGATTGGGACTACATTTGCTGTCTTCCATGCCTCAGGCAATCCCCCCTGTTTCGATAGATGTATTGAATATTGTTGTTAGGGGTACACATAGCACCTCTGCTCCCTCTCCCAATACCCTGGGGGGATGTTTTCTGGCCCCATTGCCTTTGAGGTATCTAGCTCACTCAGAAGCCTCTTCACTTCTTCCTCGGTTGGTGCACTGGTCCAGCACATGGTGGTGTGCCCCACCTCTTTCCCTCTTTCTGGAGCCCCTTCTATCTCCTCTGTGAACACTTCTTTGAATCTCTTGTTGAGTTCCTCACATACTTCACGGTCATTTCTTGTTGTCTCTCCTCCTTCCTTCCTTACCTGATTACCTGGTCCTTGACTGTTGTTTTTCTCCTGATGTGGCTGTACAACAGTTTTCGGGGCAGATTTGGCTTTGCTGCTATGTCATTTTCATATTTTCTTTGGCCTCCCTTCTTATCTGGGGCATATTCGTTTCTGGGTCTACGACTGCTCTCCTTATTCTCCTGGGTCCTTTGCCTTCTATATTTCTTCCATCCCTAGCACACTTGGTTTTTGCCTCCCTGCACCTTTGGTAAACCATGGGCTCACCTGGCTTTTTCATTATTCCTGTTACCCTTGGTACAAACCTCTCCTCACCTCCTTGCATTTTGTTGCTACATTTTTCCATCATCTCATTAACTGGCTTTCCCTGCCATTCTCTGTCCCACTGAACCCCTTCAGGAAATTCCTCATTCCTGTTATCCCCCTTTCTGTTTTGGTGTTTTGTGTGTGTGGTGTGTGTGTGTACTCACCTAGTTTGGTTTTCAGGGGTCAAGGGGGGTGTGTGTGTGTGTACTCACCTAGTTTTTACCACCTAGTTGAGGTTGCGGGGTCGAGTCCGAGCTCCTGGCCCCGCCTTCACTGATCGTATAGGTCACTCCCCCCCTAAACCGTGAGCTTTATCATACCTCTGCTTAAAGCAGGATGGATCCTGCCCCCACTGTTGTGTGTGTGTGTTGGGGTGTGTGGGGTTTGTGTGTGTGTTGTATGTGTAGTGTGTGTGGCCGGGGTGTGGGGTGTGTTGTGTAGCCCCCTATTGTGATTGCGGGGGAAGAGTCACAGCCCCTGGCCCCCCTTTTTCACGGGCCCTACGGGGTCACTCTTCCTGTTTCATGAGTTTTTATCCCCTTTTTTCTTAAAGTAGTATGGTCCGCCCCCAAATCCCCTCACTTGCTAGCTATTCCCTTCCTGACTACTCTTGATAAAGAAATTACTTTTCCTAACATCCCTTTTTTCTCTTCTGGGCCCCTTTTCGCTTCCAATTGGGGACCCCTTTTTTCCCGGGTGTCCTCTCTCTGGAACAAATCCTATCTCTTCCCCCTTTGTCTATTCCACCAGTGCTTTGTATGTCGTTAAATCATGTCTTAAACCCTATTTTGTTGCAGGGTTTCCCTCCCCTTTTTCGTGGTTTTGTTTGGTTTTTTGTTTGTTTTTTTTTGACTCTTGATCAATGGGGGTTACAAACTGGCGCATACCCAAGGGGGCCTGGTCATTTTCATTCTTGCGTTCCTTACTAAGGTTCGGTCTTTCTCAGGTTTTTGTTTTTTTGGGGTTCTCACCAATTTTGGGTTCGGGGGGTTGACTACTCCTGGCCCCCCCTTTGATCACCTATTTTTACTAAATTTTGTGTTTGGGGGGCCCGGCCCCTTCCCCTGGCCCCCCCTTTTCACCGTTGCCAGATATTCTCCCCCTCCATGACTTTATAAAAAAAAACCTGTTTAAAACTTGAGGGGTTCCGCCTCCACTACTCTTTTGGTTTTTATTCCCCCTTACAACTCATACGAAGAAAAAACTTCCTACATCCTTAAATTGGTTTAAAACCCAATTGTGCCTCTTTTTCTGTTCCCCCTTTCCCTGGAACATCCGCCCTTGTCCATTCGTCTATTCCGCGCAGTATTTTATATGTCGTTATCATGTCTCCCCTGACCCTCCTGGCCTCCAGTGTCGTCAGGCCGATTTCCCTCAACCTTTCTTCGTAGGACAATCCCCGTAGCTCTGCAACTAGCCTTGTTGCAAACCTTTGTACTTTCTCTAACTTCTTGACGTGCTTGACCAGGTGTGAGTTGCAAACTGGTGCTGCATACTCCAGTATGGGCCTGACGTACACAGTGTACAGTGTCTTGAACGATTCTTAGTTGATGTGTGCCTCCGGAGACGTGCTCGGTGCTATGGTCTCACCACAAGATCTTTCTCCTTGAGTGAGGTTTGCAGTCTTTGTCCATCTAGCTTATACTCTGTCTGCGGTCTTCTTTGCCCTTCCCCAATCTTCAGGACTTTGCATTTGGCAGGGTTAAATTCGAAAAGCCAGTTTCTGGACCAAGTGTCCAGTCTGTCCAGGTCTCTTCTCATCAACTTCACATCATCTGCGAACAGGGACACTTCAGAGTCTATCTCTTCCATCATGTCATTCACATATATCAAAAATAGCACTGGTCCTAGAACTGACCCCTGTGGGACCCCGCTCGTCACAGGCGCCCGCTGTGATACCTCTTCACGTACCATGACTCGTTGTTGCTTCCCTGTCCGGTATTCTCTGATCCATTGCAGTGCCCTCCTTGTTATACGCGCCTGATCCTCTATCTTCTACACTAATCTCTTGTGAGGAACTGTGTGAAAGGCCTTCCTGCAGTCCAGGAAAATGCAATCCACCTCTCTCTATCTCTCGTATCTTACCTCTGTTACCTTGTCATAAAATTCCAGAAGGTTTGTGACACAGGATTTGCCTTCCATGAATCCATGCTGGTTGTCATTCATAATCCTGTTCCATTCCAGGTGTTCTACCACTTTCCTCCTGATAATCTTCTCCATGACTTTGCATTCTATACACGTCAGAGGCACTGGTCTGTAGTTTAGTGCCTCATTTCTGTCTCCTTTCTTAAAAATGGGGACTACATTTGCCGTCTTCCATACCTCATGTAGTTGCCCAGTTTCAAGGGATGTATTGAAGATTGTGGTTAGTGGCACGCACATATTCTCTGCTCCTTCTCTAAGGACCCACAGGGAGATGTCCGGTTCCATCGCCTTTGAGGTATCAAGGTCACTTAGCAGCTTCTGCATATCCTCCTCCGTTGTTCGTATGTCATCCAACACTTGTTGGTATATTCCCTGTTGATGTTCCCTTCTGTGCTGTCTTCCCAGAGCCCTTCCTGTCTCTACTGTAAAAACTTCCTTAAATCTCCTGTTTAGCTCCTCACATACCTCCTGATAATTTCTTGTGAGTTCCCCACCTTCTGTCCTCAGTCTGATCATCTGGTCTTTGACTGTTGTCTTCCTCCTGATGTGGCTATACAGCAGTTTCGGGTGTGTGTGTGTGTGTGTGTGTGTGTGTGTGTGTGTGTGTGTGTACTCACCTAGTTGAGGTTGCAGGGGTCGAGTCCTAGCTCCTGGCCCCGCCTCTTCACTGGTCACTACTGGAGCACTCTCCCGGAACCGTGAGCTTTATCATACCTCTGCTTAAAGCTAAGCTATGTAGGGATCCTGCCTCCCCTACATCGCTTCCCAAACTATTCCACTTCCTGACTATTCTGTGACTGAAGAAACACTTCCTAACATCCCTGTGATTCATCTGTGTGTGTGTGTGTGTGTGTGTGTGTGTGTGTGTGTGTGTGTGTGTGTGTGTGTGTGTGTGTGTGTGTGTGTGTGTGTGTGTGCACCTTAGAATAAATTCAACTCTAGTAAAATTCCACTTTTACTATATACAAATTCTTTACTTGAGTACATTGTAATAATTTATGTGTTACATCTTCCCACAGATGAAGCCTACCCTCGTGATCCCCTTCACGGAGCTTCCCACCAACTATCCAGAAAAAGAATGGTTTCAGCCCAAGAAGCATAAAAGCCAGGGAGAGTACTACCCAGGAAAACACCCCGATGACCAGGATTTACAGCCCTCACCCACACACCCACCCACGCCCCCACCCACTCCCCAAGTTACTGCTGGAACCCCCATCAGCATCGTTATTCTGGTTGGCATCGCCATCCTCTTCATCAACTGTTGCGCTATGGGTGGCGTGTATTATCAAAGGGACAAAATCAGACACCAGTCTAGATTACTAAAGAAAAATCTTCGGCCTCGTAAAGCTGATGATTCTGAGGAAAGAGTGTCGGAAACCGCTGCATCAAGTGTTTCAAAGATCAAATCACACAGGAAGAAAGGCAGCAGAAGTGACTATGAATTGAGCGATGAAATACATTCTGATACTGTGTCTCGAGCCTCTGCTGTGTCCAGAGAGGCGACACTGAAAAGAAAACACTCTCAGGCATCACACGACTCAGTCTCTAAGCAAGAGACTCCAAAAGGCTCTCTTAAAAGCAGCAAAAGTCCCAAGAGTGGTCACAGAAGAAACAAGAGTGAGACCTCAATATATAGCGAAATTGGGAAGACGGCTGAGGTTGACATTCACGCTGAGGCAACTGGAGCCTCACGCTCTCCACACCGTAAGAACCCCACCGTCAAGTTTATCACAATGAGTGCAAACCTTCCCCCTAAAGCTCTGACCAAGAGTACCACTTCCATTTCATCTAAAGCGTCAATCAAGAGCAACACTTCTCATGCGTCTGTGAAGAGCACTGCTTCCCGTTCCTCGGTCAAAAGCACATCATCAGAAAATCGCCTTAAAAAGAACGCGAGTTGCCAAAGTTTACCCACAGCAGAATACACTTGGGGTATAACTCCAGAGATGACAATGTCAGAGAGAGATGACCCTGATGGACGAGACGATCAGCGAGGTCCTGCTGACAGACAGCAAACTTTTGCAGCCTTGCAAAAATTCAATTATCCAAAAGTGTTGCCCCAGCCACGCGAAGGCATCCATGCTGCTACCTTGCCAAAGATGCGGCCACCTCCCCCACCCCGATCGACCTCCCTTACGGCCCGGGATATTCAAGAATTTGAGAACAGAATTCGCGTTGTTTACCGTAAAAAGAGAATCCCACGAAGAGATGTTTCTACAGACTCATGTGATCTTAGTGCAGTAGATAACATTTACCTGATCGGGGCAGATGCAGTGCCCCCTAGTTCCATGTATGGAGCTCCTGCTGCCACAGCAACGGTAAGCAGATCAAGGCCTCGTAAGAATGACGGAGCTACTGATTATGGACATACCGGCACCTCTGCCGAATTCGTTCGCTCGGGTCCTTTAGGTGAGTATGGACGATCAGCTATCGCAGCTGATTATGGGACATCTGTAGGTGCAGTGGACTATGGTCGTCAGGGGGTCGGCCCATTATATGGTGGGTACGCAACCTACGAGCCAACATACGCGTACAAGGATAATAATGTTCTCTCTTCTCCAAAGACTCCTACTTCCCCACAGCCTGGAGAACAGACCAAATCCTTTGGGTCTTATGGCGAGCCTCGTGTGCCTCGTGGACCACTTGCTACCTTCGGCAAGACAAGTAATCATTCTCCAGGAGATGGGGCGGCTAAACCAGAGCAAGGGCGCTCACGCCCAACTTACGAGAGTACTGCTACGTATACACCAGTGCCAAACAGTGCAGCAGTAGTCACGGCTGCTGCACAGACTGCGTTGGCTACTGCTACAGCCCCAGCTTTTGTTGGTGCATCCAATAGCACCAGATCTGCGCCTCGAAGTCCTGTCTCTCCTGCGCCAGCGCCCGCTGCCACACACACAGTGGCTGTAAGACAGCAGTACTCCACCACCTCTGGCTCTGATACAGGTACAGTTTATGAACAGAGCGAGAACACTGGAACGATAAAACGCAAGAAATCAATAAAAAAAGACAGTGTAACCAAACCAGTAGTCGCTCAAGACCCAGAGAAATCATACGATAAGCCCCTGAAAGGCGTGTTGAAGCAGACTTCCGCCTACGACAAACCCAAACCACTAATGGCAAAAGCACCGGGTGCGTCTCCAAGCCCCTCCGCGTCCAGCCTCAGCAGCAGCGGCACCAGCATAGAAGTTGGCAGCAGTGCCAGTGAAGCACCACACAGTCCCATCCTGAAGACCCAAGAACCCCACCAAAAGACCCAGGAGTACCTCCAAAAGACCCATGACAACCTCCAAAAGAATCATGAACCCTTGCAAAAGACCCTCCAAAAGACATCCTCTATGAAAAAGGGGACCCGAGTGGCCACTCCAGGCATCAGACGCAAGAATAAAAGTGACAACCAGACCAGCAAACCCATCCAGACAGACTCACCGAACTGAGCACTGTAGACACTCGCCGAAATGGGCACTCTACTATCTTAAGAACCTTCCTTGTTGATCCCGGGTTTCGCTCGGGAATTGTGTTTGTGCAGTCGTAAACGTTGTTCAGGTTCGTAACAATAAGTAGACTCTTCTGTTTGAGTTCCTTCTTAATATTAGAAGGAAAAAGAAAAAGACTCAGGATTTTGGTATATTTAAGGTTCCCAGGTTCTCATATTCCAAGTTAATTACTGAGGCGAGGAATAGAAATCAGGGTCTCATAAGTGTTGGTCCATCTGGTGGTGGTTTCCACTGGTGGTAGTATTTTGTTTGTCGGGTAAAATAAGATTTCATTCTTGATGACCAGCTCAGTGGAGCTTTTCAACATTTGACCGAAGCTTTCCACCGCCTACTGTCCAATTAGTAAAAAAAAATCATAAAACAAGATGTGATATTTACATTTCACTACACAGTTTATAAAGCTGTGGATCACTTTTTCGTGTCCCAGAATCACAATTTTCACCTACCCAGCCCATTTATACCTCGTGTTAGAGGCCCCGCTGACCCCATAATAAACCTTACCTCAACGGGGACCGACAGTCCAAGCAACAGATTTCAGTACCTTGGGAGTCCGCCTAACATAGTGCGTCTCATCCATTTGTGTTGTCGAAGTGGATGAGGGAAATTGTTCCTAGATCACGTCTATTTTTTACTCATAAAAGATTGTTTTATATTCATTCATACATGCCCATGACATTTTTGTATACTATAGACTCTTCTCCTGTCCAGGGATGGTATCATTCTCCATGATAATGATGCACCTCACTGTTAATTTGTGAGTAGCTCTTTCTATTTCTAGAAGGATTTTCATAGCTGACAAGTGTTTATGATAATTCTGTTAGCAGCAAACGATGTTTTAATAATTCACACGTCAGGAACATTGTTAATGTATAAGATATAACAAAATGTAACGCTTATATCAAATAATTTTCATAACTGAAGAAAAAATCCAAACACAGTTTATTGAAACCATACACGGGTGGGGTTAGAACCCGCCATCAGTCATAAAACTCCAGACCGACGCGCTGGCCACTGGGCCAGCTAGCTTCAATAAGATTCATCCAACTAGGTATGTTTCTACACCATAGGAAGGTTAGCATAGGCACCACTATGAAGACAAATGCAAGTTTTTACAGACGAATCTCCCGCTAGCATGGCCGTTCGTCACTGCCACGCTAGCGGGAGACTCGTCTGTAAAATCTTGCATTTGTTGTCACAGTGGTGCCTATGCTAACGTTCCTATGGTGGGTAAATATACCTAGTTTGATGACTCTTTTTGTGGCTAGTTGGCCCAGTGGTTAACGCTTCGGTCTGGAGTTTAATGACTCTGATGGCGGGTTCTAACCCCGCCCATGGTATGGTTTGTTTGCAATCGTGTCATTACGATTTCGTGAGACAGTTTATTTTTATCATGTTACATTTATTGTTTTACGATTGTAATTTTGTTTTTTACATTGAAATAGAATGTATTGCCAATACCACTCTTTCCTTCCCGTATATTACTTTGACAGAAAAATCTCAGACGAGATGCAAGTGGCAGACGAGATGCAAGTGAAGAAAAGATAGAGGAGGGTGCACGTCACGCTGATATTGAGACAACGTCTTTCTCTCTGTAGAACTCTCTCAAATTATGTGATAGCTTGAAACTCTTGAGTAACGTGACTTGGTAAGTCTCTACAGAGTGAAACTTTGTTCCAATAAAAGCCTTTCTTGCACCCTGCCTTTTTACTCACAATGTCACTCAATCATCCACCATGAGGATATAATGTGATTCGGCATCGACCTCTTCCTCCCTCGTTTCTTCTCCCATGGATGTCGTTAGGTGGGGGACAGGATAAATGCCTGCTTCCCTATTTTTTGAAGTGGGAGAAACATCATATAAAATTCTCAACCCCTCCCCCCCCCACCACTTTTTAAGAAGTAGCAGACTACAATTAAAACCAAATTAAAAAAAAATCTTGAATAGATTTCGAGTATCAGACTTTAAGTACATAAATATATATAATCCTAAGCATGATTAAGAAAAATAATGACTACAGCTGAAGCCTTGGCTTCATTAATTCAAAGACAAATTGCAATAGTACTTTTATATAAAATAAATTTCAATAAAAACCCTTTAAACCTATTTCTTTTGTTTTAAACCTACACTGAAAGCACTATATGTATACATATATATATATATATATATATATATATAATATATATATATAAATATATATATATATATATATATATATATATATATATATATATATATATTACTTATTTATGTGTGTATGAGTGTGGTTGCCGGGGTCGAGACTCAGCTCCTGGCCCCGCCTCTTCACTGAGTGCTACTAGGTCATCTCTCTCCCTGCTCCATGAGTTTTATCATACCTCATCTTAAAGCTATGTATGGTTCCCGCCTCCACTGCCTCACTTGCTAGGCTATTCCACTGCCTGACTACTCTATGACTGAAGAAATACTTCCTAATCCCTTCGACTCATCTGGGTCTTCAACTTCCAATTGTGACCCCTTGTTTCTGTGTCCCATCTCTGGAACATCTTGTCTCTGTCCACCTTGTCTATTCCACGCAGTATTTTGTATGTCGTTATAATGTCTCCCCTGACCCTCCTGTCCTCCAGTGTCGCCAGTCCGTGTGTGTGTGTATACTCGCCTAGTTATGTTTGCAGGGGTCGAGTTATAGTTCCTGGCTCCGCCTCTTCACTGGCCGCTACTGGGTCACTCTCCCTGCACCATGAGCTTCGTCATACCTCTTCTAAAAGCTATGAATGGATCCATGAAAACACTAACTGGCATCGTACCCGGATGGAAGCTGGCTGTGTTATGTGTGGCATTGAGCGCTACACCCGGCTGAGTCCTACACACATTTAGCCTCAGTGTATCTGGCGACGTATGAGGTGGGTTGTGCATATCAATGTAACAACACCCGCGCTTTAGGACGCCTATTGATCTCTCATAATATGTCATCATGCATCATAAGGAGAAATTTTCCCGCAACATTGACAAGAAGCTGAGAAAGCGTTTGGAAGCAAAGAATGAAGCCAAAAATGCAAGCAGAGGAAGTGTGTGGCAAAGTATCGGGTGACGCACCACTATCAGCCGCTAAAAGAAAAGAAATAAGTTTTTCGTTCTTTTTTTTTAAAAACCCCCGGAGGGTTAACCCCCCAGGAAAACCCAGAAAGTCAGGCTCACGAGGACTGTCTAATTATTTCCTTTGGGGGGTCCTTAATCTTTCCCCCAGGAGCGACCCCCCATCACAAAAAACCCCCAGGTACCTATTTGCTGCTGGGTAACAGAAATGGGTGAAAGGGAAAAACGGTCGAATTTTCCCCCCGCCGGGAATGAACCCGGGGCCCTCCGTGTGGAAGGGGGAGTTTGGGGGTTTTGGTTTTTAGCGCGAACGAAAAAAATTTTCCCAAAAAAAATTCACAAATTGAGTAATCTTATAGAAAAAAGCTTAACCTTGGCAAAACAATGGTACCAAATTCAAAAAAATTTCAAAGTTTTTTCTCTTAAGGATTACAATGTGAGTTTAAGAAATTTGGTTTTTGTTTGTTTACAGGGTAGTAAAATTGGTTACAGAGTGTCCCACTAGAACGCTTGCATGGCAGGCATTTCGGATACTTAGTTTTATTCTTAATTGTAAAATTTACAAATTAGAGGTAAGTTGGTATTATGGTAAGTACAAATACTAGTTTGTAAGTTTAGCAATTGAAACCTTTTGTTTGGGCCCGTACTAGTTTCAGTATTTTGGAGTATCACAGGATTCATTATTTTAAGATTGAGATAATATTTCTGTTTATGGTCAAATGAGTGAGTGAGTGTAGTGTGAACCACCAGGTGGTATTCGTGTAGTTAGTTGACGGGGTGTATCAGGGAGATAAGATGTTTTCTAATGGTAGTTTTGAAGGTGATGAATGTGTCTGCAGTTCTAGAGTTCTCAGGTAGGGTATTCCAGATTTTAGGCCTTTGACATACATTGAATTTTTGTAAAGGTTTAGTCGGACACGGGGAATGTCGTAGAGATGTTGTGTCTGGTGTTATGCCTGTGAGTTCTGTCACAACTATCAAGAAAGCGTTTTAGGTCAAGGTTGATATAGAGTTTAAGGCCCTGTAGATGTAGACTGCACAGTAGTAAGTGTGGATGTACTGAACTGGGAGTAAGTTTAGGTCTATGAAGAGTGGGAGGTTGTGTTGCCAGGGATGGGATTTAGTGATTATTCTTACTGCAGCTTTTGTTGGGTTATTATTGGCTTTAGGTGTGTTGCTGCAGTTGATCCCCAAGCACAAATAGCATAGGTGAGGTATGGATAAATAAGTGAGTGGTATAGTGTGAGAAGGGCATTTTGCGGCACGTAGTATCGTATCTTGGAGAGGATCCCAACCGTTTTGGATACTTTTTTGGTTATATGCTGGATATGGGTGCTGAAATTCAGTTGTTGTCAAGGTATAAGCCTAGGAATTTCCTCCATTATTTCTGGTAATTAGAGTGTTGTCAATCTTAATGTTAGTTTGTGCATCTCCTGCTCTGCTACCAAACATAATTAAGAAGGTTTTGTCAGTGTTAAGCTAAGTTTATTGGCTGTCATCAAGTCGATATTTTAATCAGCTCCTCATTCACAATGGTGTTGAGGTGGCAAGATTAGGTGAAGATGACAAAAGTCGTGTCATCAGCAAAGAGAATGGGTTTCAGGTGTTGGATACGTTTTGGAAGGTCATTGATGTATATGAGGAAGAGCAGGGACCAAGGACACTTCCCTGCGGAACTCCAGTATCAAGTGGCCGTGTTGCTGATGCTGTGTCTTTAATGGTGACGTACTGATACCTATTAGTAATGTAAGATTTGAAATAAGCAAGCGCATGGCCTCTTATACCGTAATGATCAAGTTTGTGGAGTAGGATGTCGTGGTCTACTGTGTCAAAAGCTTTTCTTAGGTCAATAAAAATTCCTAGTGGATATTCCTTATTTTCCAACCTGTGTAAAGCAGATCTAGCATTTTATGATTGCATCATTAGTGCTTTTATTTTTCCTGAATCCAAATTGGCAGGGGTTGACTATGTTTTGAGCCGTTATAAATGAATTCAGTCTCCTGTGCACGAGTTTCTCAAAGATTTTGGATAGCAATGGTAAGTTAGATATTGGCCTATAGTTGTTTAAGTCTGTAGGGTCACCACCTTTATGTATTGGTGTAACCCTTGCCATCTTGAGTAGTTTCGGGAAGGTGCTAGTCTCTAGTGACTTGTTAAAAAGTAATGAAATTGCATGCGAAGGACATGGGCAGAATCATTGTTCTACGACATTCCTACAAGGAATTATGGTCATTTAAAACACCTAAGTTGATGTCACCACCCACGGCAGGTGTGCCCACCTGTCGTCAATTTTCATTTTTTTATTCCGTTTTTTTCGTGTATTTATTGTATTATTCTTTCTAATAGCGAAATAAAATTAGCAAAATCAGATGAACCCCAACTCCCACCAACAGAAACAGCAAACAGACTCAATGATTTCTTTCACTATAGGACAAAACCTTGCCAATAAAATCCCAAGCTCAGATACCCCACCAAATGACTACCTCACTGGCAACTACCCGAACACACTGTTCCTAGCTCCGACTAACCCATACGAAGTCTCCCTTATTATCAACGCACTAAAAAACAAGGCAGGAGATTTAAATACCTTACCACCCTTTATATACAAAAAAGTGTCACAAGTGCTATCAAAATCATTGCAACACTCTTTAACAAATCCATTGAATCCTCCACCTTCCCTACAGTACTCAAAATAGCAAGGTCACCCCGATCCAAAAAAGGAAGAGACCAAACAGAGTTGAATAACTATAGGCCAATATCCAACTTACACCCTCTCTCAAAAATCTTCGAAAAATTAATTCATAAACGAATCTACTCCTACCTTATCTCCCAAAACATACTCAACCCCTCCCAATTTTGGGTTCAGGCCTAATAAAAAAACTAATGATGCTATTATACACATGCTAGAACATATAACAAATGCAATAAGAGAAAAAAGAAGTCCCACTGGGGGTCTTCATTGACTTACGTAAAATTGTTGATACAGTTGACCATGACTTGCTCCACGTAAAAATTGTCACACTATGGTATAAGA